AGCAGGCCGCGTTTGGAGCAGCCATTGCTGTTCCCATGATTTCCCATGTGCTGTGCGCGTGCAAGGGGCAGCGAGCTGTTGAAGACACCTATAGATCGAGCTGCCAAGGCTGACTATGCAGGCAGTGGAGAGAAAAAATGTCTCAGAAAGACAGCTTGATAGCTCTCTCCCACAAACTGCAGAGAAACAGGGCAGAGACCTAATTTCTGAGGTCGTCTGAGTTTGGGTCCTTGCCTTTGTGCTGAGCAGGAACAGGCCAAACACTGCACAAGCGCGTGCGTGCACGGGATAGCCTTGCAAGGGTCGGCATGCCGCGGCTCTGCCTGCCGGCGGGGCTGAGTGTGGCCGTGGCGCCTGGGACGCTGCCCTACTGCTGGCAATGTGTTTTCCCATATGCACTGGGAATTTGGATGTCCAGAAGCCATTAAATGAATTCTCTTTAAACAGTCCCCTATTCATTTAAGCATTGCAGTTCTCCTCCTTCCTTCCCCTTTCTTCTTTCCGTGAGCGTTGGGCTCACTTTGCAGGCAGGGAAACTGAGTCGCGGAGCGGTGAAATGACTTGTTGCATTGCAGCGATTCAGCGCCCGGAAGGGCAGGACTTCCCACCCCATCTGTAGCTACAGGAGGAAGCAGCCGCAACGCGCCGTGTCTCCCCTCCCTTGGCAGCAACGGCCGGGCCCCTCACCACCGCGACATTAAGCCCACGGTTAATTGTCATGTTCGTTTAGTGCCGGGGGAGAGAGTTAGCTGAGACCAGTAGATGCCAGTCCCTGGGCTTTAGCCCTGGGGGACACTTGACCCATCTAAGGTGGAGGAGAGCTCTCCACCCGCCTCTCCTGGGGAAACCTAATCCCCTCCGCAGCCCGCAAATGGTTGACCCCTCACCACCGCGACATTAAGCCCACGGTTAATTGTCATGTTCGTTTAGTGCCGGGGGAGAGAGTTAGCTGAGACCAGTAGATGCCAGTCCCTGGGCTTTAGCCCTGGGGGACACTTGACCCATCTAAGGTGGAGGAGAGCTCTCCACCCGCCTCTCCTGGGGAAACCTAATCCCCTCCGCAGCCCGCAAATGGTTGACATCATTGTGTTAGTCCCACCATGGGAGGGAAGCGCCGTGACCGGAGGCACTAGGTCTTCCCTCACAAGGAGAAAATGCCAGCTTGGTTTGCTTTCTTGGCGCTTTGTTACCTACTGTGGGAGTGCATCCTGGCTTGCTCTCCCTTCGCAGCAGATGGAGTCACAGCCACCAAACCGCAGATGTAGCTGGATGGCGTTTCTGGGATGGGGACAGGACCAAAGTCAATACACCCGGCTGCGCAGCATGGCCCGTGCATGAGGGCAGCTGTGCTGCAGAAGCCGATGCACGAGGGGAGCCGGGGCCATGAGGACGGCATATGTCACTGCAGCGGCTTGGAGCACGTGGCAGCACGGGGAAGGGATGGGGCTCACAGAGGCAGCAGCCAGATGGGCTTTATCCCCTGTGAACTGCCTGGCACGTGTCGGATATGGTCCTTCCATCCACCTCTTATTGCATCCTTTGTTGGCCTTCTAAGTCTGCCTTCCTTTCTGTCCACACAGATGCCATCAGATCCTGGTCACGTCCCGTGGTACTGCTTGCTTTTTATACGTTTGTTTATCTATCTCAGTTGCCCCATGCAGCACCCTGTGGAACCTTTGTGCCTGGTAGTACCGCAAGAGGCAGGAATGATGCCCAGCAGCCTGAATCATCCCCACTTTCTTAATTTTCCAACCCAGGCTCTCCCTCGGTGAACAACCTCTCTCCCATCCCGTTGCACCACACACATCACAGCAGCAGCTTGAGGGTACAAACAGGCTGGGTGGTGGGAATTCAGGGTTTGGAAGAGCAGCAGGAGTCAGGGCCATGGCTGAGGGCCCTTCCCTGAGCCTACTCTGCTTCCAGCTCCATGAATGTTAGAAGAATTGAATTCAGCTGGAGCAGCTCTAATGGTCTCCACTAGCCTAGCAAAGAATCATCTGAGAAGAGGGCAAAGTAACTGGACTGAGCCGTTGGCAGGTACCACTGCAGAGCAATGCGAATGTCCCACTGACCCAGTGATTAATCTAGCAGAAGGTCAACTGGCTTTCCTACGCTATGGAGAGCGGCCCGAGGCTGCACTCCCTTTCCCTGGAGACTGTCCAGCCAAACGCTGTGCAGCCCTTGGAACTGAGATGACCTTGAGCGAGAGCTCTGAGAAGAGCATCGTCCTAGCAAAGACTTGGCCTTCCATCCAGTTCTCTAAGGGAGGGTGCTGGGTTTTTAATACCGGGAGGGTCAGGAAAGTAGTCAGTGCATCTCCTGCAAGGGATTGCTCTCACTTGGAAACCTCCTTTCTTAAGAGCCTGTTTCAGGGCTATTTGACTCCTTTTGTTAGCTCCAAATGCTCACACACATTCACACGTATCAGGAGGTTTTGTAAATATTGATGCTTCTTACCAGGGGAATGTGAGATGCTCTTTGGAAGTGCATTTCTACTTATTGTCTGGCCAGCCTTGGATACGGGAGACAAATGCCTGAGTTTTTCTACTTTGGTTTAATTCTTGGGTTCGAATACTCTCAAACTGCTTCCTTTCCTCTCCCCTCTCCCAGTCTGTTGACTGGCCTTGTTTATTTTGAAACCTAGAAAAGTTTCCTTTCTTTTCCCTCTGAAGTGCAATAAACAGAAGAGGGGAAAAAAAAATCATCTCACCATTTGTGGCAGGCAACAGCCTGGAAATCTCCAGCTGTCTGTCAAGAGCGTGCTGGGGGAATGCCTGACACCGCAGGGCCCCCGCACCTTGCAGCTTCCCTCCCGGGGGATAAACAACGTCCTCCCCCCTCGCCCGGCCGCTTCTCTGCTCACACAGACGGGCCCTGTTGCGAGGCAGGTGGGGCAAGCCGGGCTTGACTAATAGTGGAAAATCCGAGAGCATCGGAAAGATAAACAGCCCAAGTCAGATAGTATAAAAGTCCTTTTTCTAGCACACGCCAGGTAAGCCTCAAATGACAGAAACTGTAAAAACATGCTGAGGTTCCCCTGCAGATGGATTAAATTAGCCCTCACATAAACAGGGGAAGGGATGGTTAGTGCGTCAGGTCTTCCCAAATGTTAATCCCTTCCTTCCCCACGCCTCCATCCAACCCCGACCCCTGCCCTTGGGCAAGTGCCTACGGGTTTATCTTGCCCAACTGGACATCGTAGTGTTTCATCCATGGACCATAACCCAAAATGAACGTTGTGCCTGATGTCCTGGTAAACGGATGGGAGTCCTGTCTCCTAGATCTCCATGGTATTGAATCACCGTCTCCACTGACTGGCCAAAGTTTTCATCCACTCTTAAAATCTAAGTTTCCATGTCTATAGGCAAACAATGGCCACCCTGGATGTGTCGTCATTGAGTAGGCTGTTCATCTTTTTTGCCCAAAACTAAGCACTTCAGAATTTATTATAAATATAGAAATTATTGTAAAGCTCATATAATGTAGCAGATGATGCTGTCATTTCTGGGGGTTATTCTGAAGGCATGTAGTGGGAGGTGCTTCCATTTAAGATCTAAAGGATGGTGCGAAAATGTATCTGAAAGTCCCCCTTTAGCATCTTCAAGAAGCATAGATATGATGGGTAGCAAAAGAGAACAATGTTTTGCAGCACCAAAGAAATCCTTCAATTAATTGCTAGAATGTCTCCCCCCTACCCAAGAGCAAGACAGTGGACCTGTGCCTTTGCCTTTCCCTGCCACGTCCCCCCACCATAAGTGAAATATTGGACGTGACATTTTAGGAAAACCTTAAATATTATTTTAATCTCAAATGTTCTGTTATTGCAAGTGTCAAGTCCAACACTTCTTGTAAATACCTGGAGGACAGCCAGGTCCTGAGAACACAAGAGGTGTTAGGAACTGAACTTCATTGGTTAAGTACAGGAGAGCCATAGGAGCCAGCACGCTGACTTTCTGTACACTGATTTCTTTGTCTTAACCTGTTTTGGTTTTTTTTCTTCTCCCCTCCAGAGCGTTGTCTGCACGGCGGGACTCAAGTGGTACCCTCACCCTTCCCTGATTCATTGTGTCAAAGGCTGCGAGGTGAGCTTTGGCGTTAGCTCAGATGGTGCTTGCTCTCCTAGATGTTACGGTAGTAGTCACTGCAGTCACCTGAGCTGTACGTGCTGGTTTTCAAGTGGGGCAAGCAGGCTTTTGCCTTGCCCTTACTATCCTACCAACCAGACTGGCATCTCCTGTATCAGTTCTGACACTCAGTAGTGGAATTGGTGGTTTTCTTAGAGCCGATGATTGGGTGACTCTCACAGGAGTTAAATGATCAAGTGGCTCAGCTACATTGGTAGACCGTCAGAATTTCCCAGGATCTGGGAATTTCTGGGAAGTTGCAAAAACCTTCAGTTGTTTTCACATCTTATTAGAGGGCCAACTCTTTCCAAGCCCAGCTGGGCTTCAGGCTTTGGTGTGTGCAGATAAACTTTAGGAAAGCCAGAGGCAGAAATGATACCACTGGGTGGACAGTACGGCTGAACAGTGAGTAAATCACACATCCCTCCACTGTGCACCTCTGTCTGAACAAAAAAAAAACCCAACAGAAATGTGCAGTTACATTTCAGCTGTGATACAGTTTTTACTTGTGTAAAAATGTCATGTGTTATTTGAAAAAAGCAATTATTTTGTTTGTGCTGGCAACAGTCTTTGAAAAGTCTGAGAAGTCTTAAGATACTTCCAGTGGTTAAACAAGGCTGGAGCACCTCTCTCTGGGTCATGGCACTCACGCGGTTTCCATCACGCCAGCCCGTGAGAATCTCCCCTGTGTCAAGAAGTCAGTCCTTGTGGCACCTCTGTAAGGCTGGGAAGCTTCACGCCCATTATTTAGGAATGGGGTAGCTCACAGGCAGAGGGATAGATGGCTGCTTTGGTTACGTGGGCGGGCAGTGGAAGAGCTGTGTCTTGACCCCACATCTCCGGATTTTCTGGAGCACTGACTGCGCTCTCAGCACCCAGTAACCCAATTTTACGAGCGCATTGAAGTTTGTTTTCCCGGAGTGGCAGAACATGGCACAGAACTCCTAAATCTGACACGAAACTCCAGACCACATTGCTGCGCGATGTGATTTGTCTTGAAGTGAAAGACAGGTTTCCTTCGCATACAAATGTTGGGCCCAAGAGGGTAATAACTCTCTAACAATGTAATAGTTTCTGTCTAGTTGTTCCCTAAATGAAAAGCATTCTGCTGTCAGTGCTTTGAATGTCATAAGCCATCTCACACATTACATTCATGCAGGCTGGCTAGGAGCCCCTATTCTCCAAAGAGAGCTAAAATAACATCCAGGGACCATTAAGAAATGCCATTCAGGTGCTGAGGCACCATTGGGTATCCATTCTCCTGCTGTTTAAGGATAGTTGTTACTGAGACAAACTTTGCAATGATGTAATAATTTACCAGAAGCCATTATTACTGACATGCTTTTTCTCAGCATTTTCTTCCCTTCCATCATTGTTAATTGCCAGACCCCTCTGCATCAATAGGAACTTTCTTCTTTTCATCATTCATTCAGCAGTGTCACTGCATCGCAATCTATCATCTTGGAAGGCTTTGCCCAGACAATTGATAATGGCCTCTAGCATCATTTTTAGAGCATGATGCTTCCAGGATCCACGAATGGGCCAGTGCTCATTCTCTGGCATTAAGATTTCAGAAGAAATGCTGTCTTCACCAAAGCCTTTTTTCATGACTGTGGAAACAGGGGCTAATAAGCCAGGAGGTCAATAATACCGGGCCGTTAAGCTGATACATTCCCCAATGTATTAATATCCTTAGCATTAGGGGAATTCCCTGAATAGAAGGCTGTGAGCGGGGCGTTATTTCACTCTTGGTGCTCACAGTGGTAACCCAGACTGCTGCTGCAATGTGATTTTTTGTCGCTCCCTAGTGGCTGGAGTTTATGAGTCAGCCCCATCCTTCTCGGCAGCTAATGTAGGTGTTTCAGTAGAAAACTAGTCCCTCTGGACTACCTGCGTAGTCCTCCAAATCCATGGGAGCACTAAGATCTGCATGAAGACCTATAGAGACCTCACGCTCCACAGCCAGGCCTCCAAGGTCTCCCACATGAGGATTTTGGTACCAAACTCTCTAGATGCTATTTGTCCCATTCTTTTCCTCCAAAGGACTGACTTGCCTACTCTGTGCCAACATAAGTGAAAGGCAAATTCTTTTTCTTTTCCTGATTTTCCAGTGTTTATAGGTGTCGAGTACAGGCATAGGCATGGGAAATTAAAGGCAAGCCTTTCTTGACAAGCAGGCACAGCCAAGCAATAGGAGGGAAACATGGAGAAGCCTACAAAATGTCTTGGGAGGTTGGGCAAAGTTCACGTTTTTGAATATGACCAGATTGGCATAAAAATATCTCTCCATCTACTTATAAATCATTCCCTTTTAATTCTTAGCATATTAATTAAATTGGAAGGGCATTTGCAAGTCAAAGTCCTTGCCTGTATAAATAAGTGAATCTCTGTGGAAGTCAATGGAGTTAAGCCAGTGTACAGGGACAGGAGCCTCACCTAGTAACTCTGATTGCCTTGTCAGCGTTTGTAGTATTTGCGTGTAGCTAAACAAGTCACCTCCTGGTAGTCCTGCTCTGGTCTGATATTGCCATCGTTGCCTGGATTTCCTGTACCCTGATAGAAATAATTAAATTTGCAAAACATCAGCAGTAAAAGCCTGCATCTGCACCGCTCCGCAGTGTCCATTTTGTTACTGATGAGCATGGCCATGGCTCTGCCTGGGGAGAGCACGGCGAGCTCTCACTGCTGGTTCTTCAGGTATCTTATCTTCAGGGAGACTCCAGTACTGCGTCTGCTGCAAAATCCTCCCAGGAAACCTCCACAAGCCTCCCCACCCACTCTGCAATGATGCCTTCTTGTTGGAAAGTCCCTGGTGTGTTTTTCATGGTGCAGAATAAATGAATTTTCCAAAGAGCAGATAAAATGGTAATGGCCTCATGAGCCTGTGCGTGTAAGAAGTGTTACGGAGATATGATTCTGCTCTCTGCTGAGCATCATCCGTTTTTCCAAGCTTTCAGACCTGCCTGGCTTTCTCATACCTGGCATGGGCACAGTTTTCACTTCCAAGAAAGACTTCTGTACTTGCTGACCAAGAGAGCTCCAACGTGTAATGAAAAACCAGACTTCAAGCCTTTTCTTCAGAATCGCGATTATTATTCCGGTCCTGTGCAGCACATTGACTTGTGATCACATTGCACAGAGTAGTGACCGCATTTTCTTTTTCAAGGTGATTTATGAATTTTACTTAATAGCTCTCCACAATGTCCCTCTGAATAATTGCCATTAGCCCAGCTCTGAGCTGTGGAGCGGAGGGAGATGACGTGTCATGACCAAGGTCACGCACAGTCACTGCTGGTCGGAGAATGGGAGCACGTGGTCCCTGTGCTGAGCTCACACCACTTCCGTTTCTCTCTGTGATGTGTTTTGTGCCCTCAATGCTGACACTTGTTGCATAGTTAGAACTGTGGTGGGAAGTACAGCTATTAAAAGCAAGCTAGTTTTGCTGCTATACATAACCTTCTTATCCCACATTAAGGTTAGCTTAAAATTATCAAAAGTGCCACAATTTTAGATGCCTCGATGCTATCTCTGGGCCTAGTCAAATTAATATTCCAGAAGCATCATCTTATGTGGGATGTGAAAAGCCAACAAGGGCTCGTTTCCCTTCCATCGAGTGTCCTTCTTTTTCTGTCTGCTTTGAAGGGAGAAGGAAATAATTATCTCTTGCTTTTCAGGGCAGTTGGTAATGTTCATGTTTTCCTTCTGACGTATTGTTACAGGTTTTATCCATGTCCACGTTCTCAGTCTTTTTCTGCTTTTTCCTTTTTCAGCCTTTCATGGGGGACAACTACTGCGACTCCATCAACAACCGAGCCTTCTGCAACTATGATGGTGGGGACTGCTGTGCCTCAACAGTCAAGACCAAAAAGGTAGGGATGCTGCTTCCTCTTTTCGCTGGGAACTCCTTGGTGAATGCTGCTTTGTGCCGGGGAAGATTTTGTTTTTGCTAGAATAGGGGCAATCCAAGGTCTCAGAAGGACCTTCAGTCCAGGCATCAGCTCACCATAGGCACTGAGTTCTTGTTGGTTCATTTTGAAGTTCTCTCTTGATGTGCATGTGCATTTCCCATCATAACCTGCCTTATACCTGTGCAAGGCAGGTTCTTAAATAGTCAGAGGCATTCATTCATTCTCATTGTAAATAAACCCCGGCTTCTCTATAGGCAAAGGCTGGCTCCCTCCAGAACCCTGGGGCATGTTCATCAGCAAAGCTGCACCTACTGCTCAGGAGACCTTTGCACAGAAACACCGAGAAGGGTGTATTTGCCCATCCCGGTGTCCACCCTCAGTGCTCAGAGGGGAAACTAAAGGTTAGGAGTCATTAGGAAAAGAACAGAGAGCAACACGAAAGCATCATTGTAGGTCTGTACTTGGATCCGTGTGTACCCACATATGCCTGGCTCGCTGACCATCCCATCTCCAAAAGGACAGAGTGGGACAGAGGAGTGTGGAGCAGGGCAGCAGGGCTGAGCAGAGACCTGATGTATCTTCTGCTCAGGGACCACATAGACCAGGACCTGCAAATCTTGCAAAAGAGACAGTGGGCATGGTTAGTGGCAGAGATTCCTAAAAACATTATTTAATGCAGGGAGGATGCTTAGGGCAATAAATCCACAGCTTTTTACCACACAGCAATGAGGGGGTGAAATGGTAATTACCTGGAAGTAGGATCCAAACAAATGAAAGAAAGTGCTCATGCACACAGTGTGTATGTGAACGATAGGATACGTTGCCACAGAGTGTTATTAAGAACAACAATACGTTTGAAGTAAAAAAGAGAATAGGCATATTCATGGAGGTTAGCTCCGTCAGTGGCTATTAAACATTGATCTGGATGCAGTTTCTGGGTCAGGAATATCTAAACCATTGACTGCTTGAGCCTAGAGATGGATCCTTCCACACATCCCCCTTTTTTTATGCTTCTTTAAGACCCATTTCTGGCCACTGGTAGAGACAGTGATTGGAGTGATGGAGCTTGTGGTTTGGAGCAGTACATTCCATGTTTCCAGCCAGGATACATTTTGAACTTGTTTCCCAAAGAAAGGAGTGACTATTTCAGCCTCTGCCATGTGAGCTTTTTATCTTGTCTTCAAGATTTGAGTGTAGATCAGAATGAAGAAAATCCAGCTATTTTAAGTATGGGAAATATATTAATAAATAACAAAACTCAAGAACAGACAGAGGGAGCTTAGGCTCAGCATATGACATCATGCAGTTCACCCACCTGAGGAAGAAGGTCCTCTCTACCGCAGCTGAGGGCCTGCTGACATCTCTGCGGGGAAAAGCCCTTTCTAAAACAGCTTTGGCTGGAGGCTTCTTTTCCTTGGTTCAGCCAAAGATCTCTTACCAGTACAGCACTGTGGGCTGTCTCTGGCCCATCTGGGAACGCTGGGGAAGGGAAGTGGACATGTCTTGGCAAGTAGAAAGAGTTCGTTTCTCCACTGTGTAGGAGGTGAGGAAGAGATAGTTTTCCTAACTGTACTTTTTTTGGACAAATTTTCCCCTGAATTGTTGTGTTTCTTTTGCAAGTGTCCCTGCAAGCCACGTGCTGGGAGGGAAGCACGGGTAGGTGAGCTTCTCTGTTCCCAAGGGCGGAGTAGGGCATGGAGAGCCTGTACGGGGCTCCCTGCTGAAACGACCACTGCAGAGACGAGCAGGGTGACAGGCAGTGGCTCATCTTCACTGTCGTCTCCAAGAAGAGATTCCTCTCTGGCTCATTTTCCACCTCCTTGGGAGGAGCAGCCCAAGGGCAGGCACAGCGTGCGTGTTGGCCACTGCTGGGAGGGCAGAGCTGGTAGCTCAGCATGGCGTAGGTCTTCTCCTCCTACAACAGCCTGCCTGGGAAACTTCATCTCACTGCCTCCGGGCTTGAGAACAGGGGATGAAAAATCCCAAGAGGTGCTAGAGGAATGGAAGTGAGGTGGCCGGGAGGGGACTGACCCAAACCAGCCCTATCAGGACAGGAGCTAAGGGCAAAACTTACTGCTGGAGTGGGGACGGGACTGAAACACAAGGGATGTGAGTGCCAAATTGAGGGGGAGAGGGATAGGATTAAGGTTTGGGAGCAGAATTTATTGCTGGGCAGGGAGTTGAGACAGAGTGGGATCTGCACAGAGTCGTGAGCACTTACCAGCCAGGCAAGTCACACTCAAAATATCTGCTGCTTCGCTGCCACCCATAAACGAAGCGACCACCCAAGAGGGGGAAAGGGCTTTGTAGCCCAGTCGGTTACTGGTTTCTGTGCTAAAACTGCCCAATGCAAAGAGCAAGCAGTTCAGAGACAGGCAGCTGGTCACACGTCTGATGCATTTCCCCCATGGAGGGGGAGGTTTTGTAGCTTTTTAGAGCTAAGTCTGCTTCCACTGACTTCACTGGGAGCTGTATCTTTGAGACCGGGGGAATTAGACTTGTCCTAGTTTGTACTTTAGAAACTCCCATCCTAGAGATCACACAGTTTGAGGGCTGAACCACAGAGCCCATCGCTTCCTCGGCACACATTCAGCTTCCAAAATCTTCTCTCTCCCAAAACGCCAGCAACATCTCGGGAGCTGAACAAGGCACTCGGGAGGAGTAAGAAAACCACCTTCTCCTTGAACCTTCCATGCCAAAAGCAAGATGCTAAGTCCCAGTTTATTACATTTATAGGGTAAAGGGGGGAATAATAACCCAGCCGGCAGGACCACGGCGTCAAAGCCGAAGAGGCGGCAGGCAGCACCTCCCTGC